ATAGGCTAGACAAATCAATAAATCAACTTTAAGGAGAGAGGTGTGTGTGTGTGTGAGAGAGAGAGAGACAGAGACAGAGAGAGAGAGAGAGAGAGAGAGAGAGAGAGAGAGAGAGATGGTCCCTGACATATTGTAGCTGAGTACCCAATTTTTAAGAAAAAAAAAAAAAGAATTTTTTTCCTCTTTTCTCTCCTGGCTCTTTTACTTAGCTTTTTAGCAATGCAATTATAACCTGTACCTTCTCTCCACCAGGCACAGCAAGGTTATCTAACTATGTGTTTACTTAGAAGTTCCACAGATGGAACCTTGAAGCAAACCAGGTGCCTTTCCACCAGGATATTGCCTCAATTTACAGCTCACCTATGCCTGTGATGGCTCCAGGCAGACCACCCAATAGATAAGACATCCGAAGCAAGTCAGGTAGACCCCACACCTCATTGTTTCCTCCCCTACATGCCATTAATGCCAAGACCTTCTCTTCTGCCCTGAAGACTGAGGTGGTGTCCTCAAGGCAGGAGCCTGTGCTACCTCTCTTCAGCTAGCTCTGAAATAAGGTCACTTTCTTTCTACAAGACCTCACTCCTTTTAATTGGATTCTGCAAGCAGTGAGCAATTGGACTTGCGTTCCATTACAACATGATCATTTGGCTTATGATTTTTTGACTTTGCAATGGTGCAAAAGATATATGCATTTAGTAGAAACTGTACTTTAAAAATGAGAATTTGAATAACTTCATTATAAAATGGGCTTTGTGTTAGATGACCTTCCCCAATTTTAGACTAATGTAAGTGTTCTGTGCACATTTAAGGTAGTCTGAGCTAAGCTATGGTGGTTGATAGGTTAGATAAATCAAATGCATTTTTGACTTATGATATTTTCAATTTATGATGGATTTATTTGGATGTAACTCCATTATAAGTTGAGGAACATGTATACATACACACATATACACATACACATATGCACATATATGTGTATGTAGTGTGTGTGTGTATACAAAGGAAGGTTATCTCAAAAATCTGGAGATGTTACAGTTATTCTTCTTCTTCTGGAAAAAGTTTCTATTTCCCAAACATTATTTGATAACATTACATTATGTTTTTGCATATTACTTTTTAAATGAGAGAATTTTCTTTTTTAAAAATATGTAACAACCTCTACTTTATTGAATTAAGGTAACAAGGTGAGACTAGGTTGTTTTAAAAATAGACTTTTGCTTCATTGTTTAAATATTAGTGATCTTTAAATATAACAAAATTGCTTGTTGTTAAAACTACTAAAGCATTTCTCCATTTTCCACCTTGTTTAAATTTCTATTATTCACTACCAAACAATCTAGATTTTTTTCTTTTTTCAAAGACATCTGAGAAGGGTTGGGCTAGAATGTGTGTTCTATTCCCAGTTGTTTTCTCTCAGAGTATTTGGTTAAATCAGGCCAAGGTGGACATTCAGTAACCACTCTTTTTTAACCAAACACAATAAAAATTAAAATTCTTTAGGAGGGGAGCCAAGGAAATTAGGACTTGATTTTCAGATGTTATACTCCAGTAAGAACCAAAAATAATTTCTTTTGCTTCTTATAAATTATATTAGTAACTTTTGAGGATCAACTCAGTATAAGTATAGCATCTGAAAAGCATGTGATTTAAATGTTAAAAGTAAATGACCTCCTAAGCTGATCAACATTTGCTTTGCAGCTACAGCATCTAAAATGAGCCCTTCTTTGTTTTGTTCCAGACCTGTGGATGATATCATGATTGACTGCACAAAAGTAGCGCTAAAATTCAAATTTTAAAATTTAGCTTTTTTATTCTTTTTTCTTTTTTTTTTTTGGTGATGGGGGCCTCCCTGTGTGCCCCCAGGCTGGCCTCAAACTTTACTCCTGGGCTCAAGCAATCCTCCAACTAACCTCAGCCTCCTGAGTAGCTGGGATTATAGACACACCCTGTGCCCAGCTAGTTCTCCTTTTTAATACCATGTAAGCCCATTTCATAAGGTTATGAAAAAAAGAGAAATCAGAAGGTAGAACAAAGCAATCATCAGAGAGTGCATACAAAAAATTATAATTTCATGCACTTGCAGAGTAAAATCACTTACATTTTAGAAAGATAAATATACTGCTGTCATCAACCATGAGTTTTTACTATACTCTAAACTGAAGCCAAAATCTTGATCTTAATGGTTCTTTGATTTACAGATTTTTCATCATTTTAACCCAACTCAAATGGCCAGTCGTTTGTGTTATTCCTCATCTGGGACCTCCCTGTGCTTCACTATCTGGCTGTTCATAGGCATTTTTGGTTCCCATTTGGGAACCAAATGTTTTGAACTCAGACACTGATGAAGACCTATGTTTTAAAAAGTCCCATATTGCTAATGTCTGAATCAACAGTAGATATGTAATCCTACTTTAGTCCACTTTTGTTTGTTCATTCTACAGGTTTTGAAATTTCCCAGTGATCTGGCAGCATTTTTAAATACCAAGTCAGCCCCATTGTGTTAAAAATGGTATCTGAAACCACAAATCATTCCACGGTGCTAACCAGAAGGCTTGACTCTGAGTTTAACAATTAAAACCTGAGGTAAGGACTTGTGTTGACAAGCAGTTTGCCAACACATTATGATGTGGTGGCACATCCCCATCTCCATATAAAAACACTTTTCCATGAACAATATTCTATAACCTTTCTGTGTTCTTTTCTTTTGTGCTGATTATGTTTTTTTTTTTTTTTTTTTTTTTTTTTTAAGACGGGGTTTCACCATGTTGGTCAGGCTGGTCTTGAACTCCTGACCTCAGGTGATCTGCCCGCCTTAGCCTCCAAAGTGCTTGGATTACAGGCATGAGCCACCACACCTGGCCCGATTATGTTCTTAAATGGAATGAGAAACTAGTAAAATAGTAAAGTTCTTTGATAATAAATGGGATTTTTAAAGTTGAAAAACAGTGGCATTTATTTTTATTTGTCATTAAAAATGTTTCTTTATGGGGGAGGTAATATTGTAATGATTCTAAGAAAAAGGCCCTCTTCTTACTCTTCATTTCATTTCCCTAGAGACTAGCATGGTGTTTTATATGGTTGATGCTCAATGAATATATTCATTAAATTGGTAGCTAAAAAGGCTTCTTTTCTTCTAGTTTGAAGTGACAACATTTCTAAAAATATGTGAAAATCTGTAAGAACAGTTAGCCTATTTAATTATTTTTCTCTACTTTCAAATGTCGAATAAAATGACGTTTGTTTTCCAGCTTCTCAAGCACTTATTTATTATCTAATGATATTTTAAAATACTATGAAAATTTATTTGTAAAAACAAATGCTTCTAATGAACTAACTTCTGCAAGCTTAGTAGATGAATCAAACTTTTTGCATATTTTTTCACTTAATCTCAAAATTAAATACTATGAGACAGTAAAGCAACTTAAAATAAATTATTGCTTTGCATTGCTGATTAAGCACCAATCTAATTTTGAACTTAATGGAAATAATCTATTTGAAACGGTATATTTGGCTGTATTTTGGATAAAAGCATAGTAAATTTTCTTCAAATGATCGCATACGTGTCGTAGGCTTTTCTGGATTTCTCTAAGGTTACTGGCTACTCTAGATTATAACATTTTACTCACATGTTAGAATACCCATTTTGTACTCACCCTAAAGCTGTATTCATGCTCCTTCTCTTTGTCTTAAAGTGTTCCTAACCTGAGGATCATTTTCTGTCTGAATCGAAGTCACTTAAATTAACTTGCATTTCCAATCATTTAAAGAAGTCCAATAAATTCAAAGATCATGGTCTATATTGCTCTACCCATTTGCTTCTGCAGGGGACCAAAGATGGTACTTTGATTTCATGGTACTGATTGTGTGACTTCTGAAAGGAATAATAGGTTAGAGGCCCCTTGGACTATTTTCCTGAGTTGTTGGACCAAGAATACTTCTATTATTCAAACTTAAAATTAAAAATTGAGAAACTTGAAATTAGCCTACAGCAGCCCTAGTTTTCTTGGGCATTCCCTGAAGTGTGGGAACCAAACAGCGCAGCTTGTAAGAAAATATCTGAGAATGGATAGGGTTGAGGTCATAATTGGATGGGGACGGTGGTCAAGAACATTGAGTTTTGAGTCTACTGACCTGGGTTCAAATGCTGGTATCATTCATAAACTATATGATCACATACAAGTATTTAACTTTTCAGTGTATCAGATTATTCATAGCTAAAATGGAAAACAAGCCTTCAACAGTACCTGTGTGGCTGTTGGAAGGATTAAATGAGATACTGCCTTTTAAACCTAGAACGCAGTAATCACTCAGTATGTGCTAGCCATTATAGTTGTTGTGTTCCAGTGTAATTCTTCTGGCTCTGCCTGGATCTTTAGGGAATTTATGCAAGACTCCATATTCACTGAGAGGTCATGCCAGTGTGTTTAAATTCCAACCATGGGACTCAATCCTGTGGTTGTGCTATAGCACCTCCAAGTCTTCAAGTCTGGTTTTGGTTCAGTTTCATGGGCTTCAGGCAGACACAATATTTCCCTCTATAGTAACTATAGAGAAAATGCAGTTTATAATTTACCAGGCTGTAATAAATGTTTGAGAAGCAGTACTAAGTCTTTCTTTACAGAAGTAAACATGCCATCTTGATATACTTATTATTTGAAGAATTAAAAGTAGCTACTTTCCTACAGGAGAAATAAAAGATTTTGCTAAGTGAAGTAAAAATTTACTACTCTCTGCTGTTTCTTCCCACAACATCCATAAATATGCTGAGGCCGATGTTTTGCCAGATGGGTTTGCGACTCTGCTGAAACAAGAGATGCTCTCATTTATATTTCCCTCAAATTGTACCACAAACCACACTTGCGAGGGAAAAGAAAAAGTCGTCATGTAAGCATGTTTACCTTCAAGTGACTAGGAAGTGGAAACCTATCCATAAGTGATGATTCATCATTGCAGGCCTATAAAAAAGTAAAGGTACTCATCTGTGGAAACACTGTAGGCTCCAGGCATCACCACTCAAGATGCATCCAGGAGTCCTGGCTGCCTTCCTCTTCTTGAGCTGGACTCATTGTCGGGCCCTGCCCCTTCCAAATGGTGATGATGAAGATGATTTGTCTGAGGAAGACCTCCAGTTTGCAGAGGTAGAGTATCTTGCCAATCCTGATGATGCAGTTGGTACAGCTCAGCTATTTCCTTCTCTTTTAAATGCAGTTCATCTTGGTCTCTTTTCTAGCGCTACCTGAAATTATACTACCATCCTACAAATCTAGCAGGAATCCTGAAGAAGAATTCAGCAAGCTCCATGACTGACAGGCTCCGAGAAATGCAGTCTTTTTTTGGCTTAGAGGTGACTGGCAAACTTGACGATAACACCTTAGATATCATGAAAAAACCAAGATGCGGGGTTCCTGATGTGGGTGAATACAATGTTTTCCCTCGAACTCTCAAATGGTCCAGAATGAATTTAACCTACAGGTAAATCACAGGCTATGTTTCTTTCACACTTGTTAGCCTTTTCTTATGGTATTAAATGTCTAATATTAAGTAGGCCTTACTATTTAATTGGCAGTTAAGTTCCAGAATAGCTTTAACGTGGTTACCAAGAATGCCGCACATCTATTACTGTTACATTAGCCCAGCATTATTTTTTAGTGGATATATCAAAGTATTTCTTTTAGAAATGAAATAAAAGAGAAATAAAAGTAGATTCAAGAAAATTTGCAAATGCGGTACATTAGGTGTAGTTATTACAATGGTGACAAAGATGAAGTATGCCACGCTTTATAGGAACTTTACAGAGCTATTTCATTTATTTGGGCTGTATCAATGTAATCCAAACTTCTAGCATGTAAAATTAATTATATTAAACATTGGAATATTTTAAATTTAAGATGCCACATGGTCAGGTATTTGGAGATACTAAAATGTCTGAATTTTTGACTTTTTATTCTTGCATGGCATCGTAATTAATATATTATTTCAAACAATAAACATCTAGTAGAAATTTCAAAGAAATCATTGGATTTTGAATTGAAAAGCAATATGCCTAGAAAATGTATTCTAAAATAACTCTCACTTTCCAAAAAGTTAATGAAACTTTTTCTGTTAAATAGAATTGTAAATTATACCCCTGATATGACTCACTCCGAAGTTGAAAAGGCATTCAAAAAAGCCTTCAAAGTTTGGTCCGATGTAACTCCTCTGAATTTTACCCGACTTCACGATGGCATTGCTGATATCATGATCTCTTTTGGAATTAAGGGTAATGATGCACACTTGTTTTAAAAACTTTTTTATGTTCTAATTCTCAGCTGGTTCCATTTAAAAATTCTTTCTTTCAGTCATTCATTACTTTTTAAAGCATTCAGCACTAATTTACCAAACACCTGTGCTGAGTACGCCTGCATGTGATAAGACTCCTAACCCTTGCTTTTGTGTCTAGAGCATGGTGACTTCTACCCATTTGATGGGCCCTCTGGCCTGCTGGCTCACGCTTTTCCTCCTGGGCCAAATTATGGAGGAGATGCCCATTTTGATGATGATGAAACCTGGACAAGTAGTTCCAAAGGTAATATTCTTATAAATATATAATTTATGTGCTATTAGATTAGACAGTAAACACACTGGCATGAAGTTAAGACACATAAAAGTTACATATATTTGGTATTTGGCTATATTTTCTAAAAAAAAAAAGTTTATCTCAGACATATGAGTATCTCTACAAGTGACATTATTACCAATAATGAACAAAATCTACTTACTCCTTCACTGTGGCTTAAGAGATACGAATTAACTTTGAAGTAGTACCAAAATGTTTATGTTTGTCAGTCAACACATTATCATCGCAAATTACGTTTTGGCATGTTGAAGAAGTACAGTTTATTATAAATATATAAAAACTACCAGGGCTGGATCTATGGGTCATACATGAATTAGATGTGAATTGAAATAGTTTTTTTCTTGGTAGAAATATGTTCAATCAAATTTCTGTTTCCCATTATATGAGTTGCTTGATTCAGTCTTGTCTATGTATTATAAATACCATTCTTAAAAATCTAGACAGTCTTACTCCAAACAGCATGAAACAGACAAGATGATGGTTGTATTTACAAGAGCAAAATGAAACTGAATGTTGAATGAAATCAGTTAATAGTTGAATCTTCAAGTCTCAGAATCATTTGGAATGTTAATTTAGGAAGAATAGCCATAGATTTTTCTAACTAGGACTTAATTATGACAAATAGAGATTGTCTTTATAGACAGTTTACTTTTATTATTCATTTAAATAAAAAAGATTATTTTTCCAAAAAATAAAATGGGGCTTATGTGATCAGTGTCTCAACTCTAATACCTCCAATCTGTCTATGGATGGAAAAGTGAAAATTTATGTTATTTATGTTCTGAGTGTTTCACAGATAAGAATGGTTTGAGGAGGAAGGAATAATACCCAGTATTGTTAAGATAGAATCACAGTAAGCCTCAAATTTATATTTCTGTATAAATTCTGGGTTTGAAATATTTAATTGAAGTGAATGAAAACATCCTCAAACAAGTCTGGATTCATTTTTCAGCTGAAGGCTATGAGTGGTATCCATTACTAGTCATTCTGATGAAGTATTAGTTAGCACTCAGATTATGAGACCTCGAATTGCTCTCATGGTCTGCAACATTTGCTAAGTTGATTCATTTTCTTCATGCACAGGCTATAGTTGCAAAGGGAATTTTAAGGTCAAATGGAATCCACTGGCTCTAGCTTTCAGGTGATCTAAGCAAAAGTAACAACAATCCTATTGCCTTACACATCTTATATTTCTTTTAGTTTTTTTTAACTCTCTTTTTTCCAGTTTGAAATACCTGTATTAGGAGGCGCAGAACTGGCATACAGAATGATTAGAGGAAACAATGTAAATACAGTGACACAGTGGCCTTCTAGAGTAGAGGAAAGATGGCTAATCATACCTAGAGTTTCTGTTTCTCCAAACCCCAGAGTCTAGAGACATTCTGGAAAGAATCATTTGGTTGGAATTTGCTCCCAAGTATATACACAGAGAACCTATTTAATGCATTCTCCACCCTTGGTACCATCCCTGTGGATGCTACATCCTGATTGGAGGATGTTTGGGCAGCACTCTAGCTAGGTACCACCCTGTGTGATTTCCCCACTCCTTGTTTAAGGTAATCTCTGTCCACTTCCTTCAACTGACCTAAAAATACTAAGAGCAAATCAGTAATTCTAATATCTTCACAGTAAATCCTTATTAATTACTAATTATATGAGAGCAATCTGTTGACATTCTAATTATGTAGACAGCTATAATAAAAAAACACTAAATTATTTATAAGGATTAAATCAATACTTCGAATCTTCTTTCAAGCAACTGAATATTGATTTTAAAAGCTCAGAGAATGAAGAAAGAGAAAAGAAAGAGTATATAGCCAAGAAAGAAACATACCAAATAAATAAAATGATATTCCTTTCATTACCTAGTCACTGGAATTCCTTGTTTTCTCATTGTTAATTTGTTTTCTTACAGGCTACAACTTGTTTCTTGTTGCTGCCCATGAGTTCGGTCACTCTTTAGGTCTTGATCACTCCAAGGATCCCGGAGCACTCATGTTTCCCATCTACACCTACACCAGCAAAAATCACTTTATGCTTCCTGATGACGATGTACAAGGGATCCAGTTTCTCTATGGTAACTCAGTTATAGAAATTGAATATGATCAGTTATAAAAGCAGAATAAGTCCATGTATCTGTTTTCTAAATTGCAGTCGTGCTGCAAAATGATGTTTTGGTACAGTAAAGTGTATATATGGCAAACGTTTCATAATACTATAATACTGTATTTTTACTGTACCTTTCTTATGTTTAGATATGTTTAGATATACTTAATACTAACCACTGTGTTACAAGTACCTACAGTATTCAGTAAAGTAACATGCTGAACTGGTTTGTAGCCTAGGAGCAACAGGCTGTACCATATAGCTTATATGTGTGGTAGTCTATATGTCTAGGTTTGTGTAAGTACATGCTACAATGTTCACCCAATGACAAAATCGCCCAACAACACATTTTTAGAACGTAGCCCTGTCTTTAAGCGACACATGACTCTACTAACTGAATTTACCACTGTCAGTGCTGCTTTCTTGGTTTTGTTCTTAAAACCTAGGAAAAATACCCATTTTTCTTTCCAAATCTAACTACCCACTCAAAGAGAAAAGATTTCATTCTCCAAACTCCTTGTATTTGTATTTTACACATTGCAATGTGCATTTGATACCCTCAAAACACCTCTGCGATAAGAAAAAGAAATATTTTATTCCCCATTAAACCAATGAAGAAATTAAGCCCTGTAGAGTTTAAGTAGCACACCTATAGTAACACGGTTGGTGGTGAAAGTGAGATCCTAAGGCATTTTAGAAATTCCAAGTATTCTTTCAACCAGTCTAATTTGCCACAGAAACCACTCAAGTGGCATGTGTTAGATTTTTGTTTTGTTTTGTTTTTGTTTTGTTTTGGCTTTTTGAGATGGAGTCTTCCTCTGTTACCAGGCTGGAGTGCAGTGATGCAATTTTGGCTCACTGCAACCTCCAGCTCCCTGGTTCAAGTGATTCGCCTGCCTCAGCTTCCCGAGTAGCTGGGATTACAGCAATGATCCACCATGCCCAGCTAATTTTGTATTTTTAGTAGAGACGGGGTTCACCATGTTGGCCAGGCTGGTCTTGAACTCCTGACCTCAGATGATCTGTCTGCCTCAGCCTCCCAAAGTGCTGGGATTACAGGCGTGAGCTACTGTGCCCGGCCAGCCTATGGTAGTTTTTAATCAACATCTACAGTAACCAATGTAAAAAAAAAAATTCTTCCTTTTCAATCCCCCCAAATTTTCAATAATATTTACAAAATAATTAAACCTCAAACCCAAACATTTATTTATAGATGACCTGTTATAAATAGAGTTAAAGCCACAGTGCACAGTCATCAGTGTAAACACTTCTAGAGCACATAGTTCATAAAACTTGCTCATGCCACTCAACCCATTCTTTTTCCGTCTAGATTTGAATCTATCACAGTAGCTAGCAGAGGTGTGGGCATGAACTTGAGGATGGCAAAGGGAATTTGCAAATTTATTTTGCAATTATTATTTCTGTGCTATTGTGACTCAGGAGCTGATGAAAGAACTAATATAAACTAGACAGAAAAAAAAAACCAGTGTAGGATTATTATTGTGCACTGCACCCGCATCCCGTCTGCACTCATGGGAGCTGGTTGGAAAGTCACCAACATGTTAAGTGCTGAAAACCTGGCTTGTCACTGAGATACAGCTGCACAGTGGCAAACTGGTGATGCAATGTTAGCTGATGTTGACAGCTGGTAAAATAGTCAAGAGGAGGAGGTGAGATGAGGGCTTTCACAGAGAAAATACAAGGGGAATGTAATTTTCAAGAGCAGTCTGTCAATAGATTGTGCAAGGTATAGGAAAAGTTTTTTCAAAGTCTTGCTTTTTTTCCTCATTTTTATCACCACCCTCAAGAAACCTAAGTTTATAGTTCTAAAGAATCTTGAGAAGTCTTGAAGGATGGAAGTGGAGGGGAGGTTCGGGAAGTAAGATTACTCGGTATTTTCACCATAATGTAGGAGCCCCAGGACCTACTGCCCTTCCTGAAGGGAACCCTCTCCCACTGTCCAACAGCAGATCAGCCTGTTGTGCTGTGACCCAGGTCAACATTAATGTCACACTCATAACTTCTCTTTTGCCTTTCACAACTGCAGGTCCAGGAGATGAAGACCCCAACCCTAAACATCCCAAAACACCAGACAAATGTGACCCCTCCTTATCTCTTGATGCCATTACCAGTCTCCGGGGAGAAACAATGGTCTTTAAAGACAGGTACTCTTGAGATTCTTTCAGAGAGTCTGTATGCAACAAACATCTGTGAATCTGTTTCTGCATATTGCCAAAAGTCCCATCAGACTTCCAAAGGCGAAGTTAACAGTAAAAATGGGCAGGCAGTTTATTTACATATTGCAGATGTAGATGATTGATGGATTGTTTTACTTTTCAATGTATAACCTTGACATTGTGCAGCTTCCTTTTACATCTCCAGTTATAGTTTTTCTTATAAATATAACCAAGTAAATCTAGAAATCCAATTTATTTTAAGAACAGACAAGCATTGAAAATAATTGCTATATTAATAAATGGTTACTCGTTATGTCCATGCAGATTCATTTTGGTATGGAAAGACTTTGATTCTGGAAACCTATGTTGGAATTTGAGGGATGGAATGAAATGAACCTAGAAATGCAACATAAATTTTTAATTTCTGCATTGTTCTAGTATGCTTATTTGTTTATTCATTTATTCATTGATCCCTCATCTGTGATCCAATAGCATTTTTACCCACTCTGTTATAATGCGAATTACATTGTACTCGTGGGGTGGGGGGTGGTTCTCATGTATCAGTTTTCCCAGGCCATAAGACCACGGAAGACATAGTTCATGTAACTCATTTCTTCGTTATGGAGCCCAACACAATGCCTGGCACATTTGCTTGCCCCTGGCAAGGTATCCAAATTTGAGCAAGACAGGGATTCAACACACAAAGAACTTAGAGCCCTCACAAAGGCTCTGTGAGATTTCAAACTTGAATACCTTGCACTAGTTAGGATAGTACAACTTATCACTGGCACTTAAAGGGAAATGGAATTATTTTCTCTTCACAGGTGGGAGGGATTGGTTGTAACTAACTTATCTGTGTCGATGCAGAGAGAGGTGGCTAACAGGATAGAAATATTGCACTTTAAAAATATGACAGAAAACTCCATTTTTACTTTCGTGTTAGATTCTTCTGGCGCCTGCATCCTCAGCAGGTTGATGCGGAGCTGTTTTTAACGAAATCGTTTTGGCCAGAACTTCCCAACCGTATTGATGCTGCATATGAGCATCCTTCCCATGACCTCATCTTCATCTTCAGAGGTAAGCCTTCCACAGAGGAGGCCTCACACATGACCAGGGAGGCAGTGCTGACCTTGATGCCACTAGAGATCCAGTAAAATGATCACTATTGAAAATATCCTAAATTAAAGACTAAGTTTTAAAAAAATGGAAGCCAGAAAGCACCTGAAACCATCTACTGTGTGTCTCCAAATTTAACATATGAAAGGTCTACATTATTACACTTATATCCACTCTTTCTTTCATGTCAATCATGTCAGTAGTTTCTCTTAGTTTCTCTTAAAACCTGCTTATTGAGAAAACATTGTAACAATATGCATTCTGAAAAAGTGGAAAAATATTATCCATAATTCTTCCTTCTGAAAAGTCAGTTTATTTCATTTGCTCATTTTCATTATGTAACACATATTTTTGCATATTTATTTTCACAGTACAGATATATTTTTATATTCTATGGCTTTTCTTGACACAAAATTATGACCAATTTCCAAATTGCTACTTCATCTTTACAGTCATAATTTGACTACATAACAGTCTGCTGACATTGTTTCTGTTGTTCAACTATTTATGATATTAATGTTATAATAAAGCTACTTTTTAGACAAGAAAATAACTTTCAAACTGGTATAAAATTTGAGTTTTCAATCTAATTTACCTTTCTTACTCTGTTGTTTATGCATGTAGAAATTTTAATGTATTTTTTCACCTAGCTTTCAACTTAATTCAGGGATAATAAATTCAGAGCTAATGAACTCCCAAGTTAATTGTGATATTTGGTTAGCTATACTCATAATTAAGAAATTAAGATCCTAAATTTTATGTTTTATTTGAAGAATGCTTATATTTTTATACTTCATAAACATGATGACTGCAGATACTAAATATTTTATTAATATTTCTAAATGTATAAATGGGCCTGTCTTTAAGTACATGTCTATATATATAAATCCTAATAGGTTCCCTTGGATAATAAAACTGTTATTTTACTTATCCTAGGTAGAAAATTTTGGGCTCTTAATGGTTATGACATTCTGGAAGGTTATCCCAAAAAAATATCTGAACTGGGTTTTCCAAAAGAAGTTAAGAAGATAAGTGCAGCTGTTCACTTTGAGGATACAGGCAAGACTCTCTTCTTCTCAGGAAACCAAGTCTGGAGGTATGCCAGCAATATGTACTGACCCATCTGTGTCATAGCTACAAAGTGTCTCAAACATCTGTCACTACTATAAATTAGTCCTACATACTACTGTAAATGTCATACTAGTCATTCATTTTTATTCTATGTCAGCTCTTTCAGGCAACTCCTCAGAGCTTGAAAAGTCTCAAGCTCTCTTGAAACCCACACACACACACACGCGCGCGCGCACACACGCGCGCGCACGCGCGCGCGCATAATACTCACCTCTTCTCAAACATTCTTTTCTTAGCCATTTGTTGTGCCTCAACCATCTTTGGCACCTCTCTTTCTTTTATCTTTTTTGAGACAGTCTTGCCCTGTTACCAAGGCTGGAGTGTAGTGGTGTGATCTTGGCTCACTGCAACCTCTGCCTCCCATATTCAAGCATTTCTCATGTTTCAGCCTCCCAAGAAGCTAGGATTACAGGCACGTGTCAATATGCCCAGCTAATTTTTGCATTTTTAATAGAGACAGGGTTTTGCCATGTTGGTCAGGCTCCTGACCTCCAGCAGCTCACCTGCCTTGTTTTCCCAAAGTGCTGGGATTAAAGGCGTGAGCCACCACACCCAGCTGGCACTTTCTCTTTCTAATCTTTCTCCTGGATTCTCTTTCTTGTCACTTTCTCCTAATTTACATGTAGCTCCATCTGCTGTGGCCAAAGAGGATACCAGTATGAGTACAGGAAAAGATTGGTTCAGAGAAGGCCTTCCTGTCTGCAGAGTTACCTGATCCACTGAAGAGGTTGACCAGGAAGCTGACAGCCTGATAGTTTATAAAGTTAAACTTTCTGAAGGGCAAGTGAAGCTGGAATATTTAAAACATATGTAAAGATTTAAGCAGCAATGACATCAACAACATTTAGGAGTCTAGATTCAAGTCTATATTTGGGAAGGAGAATGTCTCATCAGTACCCTACACCTGAAATGTTTAAAATGGAAACTTTCCTCCATCTCTGCATACACAGTTACACACACTCATGCATACCTGCACACACACACACACACCCCTACACACACACATACCTGTTGTATATCTCATCTTTGCCTTTTGACTTATTTCTGACAATGACATTTCTAACATTCTAGAAATCACTGCATTGCATTTGGAAATGAAATGCACTGGTACTACATTTCCTTTCCTACCCTCCATAAGAAGTGCATGGTTTAGTTGGAATGAATTGCTTACTGCATCTCAAATATGCTGTTTTTTAAATACCCTCTTAAGCTTTTCTTATACAATTTTCTTTGGCAGGAGATCTTTTCCTGCATCTCTCACTCCTGAAATTCTACCCACTGTTTAAAGTTCATTTGAAATACCATTTCATCTACAATGTCTTTTTTTTTTTTTTTTTTTTTGAGACAGAGTCTTGCTTTTGACACCCAGGCTGGAGTACAGTAGCATGATCTCAACTCACTGCAACCTCTGCCTCCCGGGTTCAAGTGATTCTCCTGCCTCAGCCTCCTGGGTAGCTGGGATTACAGGCGCCCACCACCACACCTGGCTAATTTTTGTATTTTTAGGAGAGATGGCGTTTCACCATGATGGTTAGGCTGGTCTCAAACTCCTGACTTCATAATCTGCCCACCTTGGCCTCCCAAAGTGCTGGGATTACAGGCGTGAGCCACCACATCTGGCTAAAGTCTTCTTTTATTTCCGCATTCAGAAGTTATTGCCTGGTTTCCTGTACTTTCAGGACATGAACTTCCATCACATTTCATGATTACTTGCTCGTGCTTAACTTCTATTTCCTGGTGTTGCAGTTATGTATATACATGCCTTAGCTTTCTTGGTAGTTCCGTGGTTCTTACCTTATACTTGTTTGAACATACCTCCGGGATATACAAAATCTCTCATCAGTAATAGTAATGGCACCTTATGGGAGCCTGTTTTCCTAAGTTAATTTTAGGATATGTTTGCTTGGTTAGGGTGTAGGTGTGGGCAGGGGAGAAGGAGCTTGAAATATGCTGTTATGGAAGGGGAAAGCTATCCTTCTCTCCCGACCTTTAGTGTTACCATAAGCTTCTACGACTTTCTAGTACAGAAATTAAACCTTAAATATTTTTGTAGCCATTACTGTACTTAGCAAGTTGTCTTACACATAGTGGGAGATCAATAGACCGTTGTTATATGCGCAAACACGCATTTATTTCATGCTTAAGAACACTTTCCTTATGACATGCTTTTATAACAGATACATCATTTATGAAATGGAAATGAGCTTGTAACTCTCTTTAAAAAGATGGCCTTTAGGCAATTCAACAAATACTCATCAAGCACCCACTGTACATTGAGTATGCTCATTCCTAATTTTAAAAAGCTACCAGATGTTTTAAATGGAATTAAAATTTTAAAATTCTTGTGAATTTTGAAAGATGCCATTGTATCTATAGTATTATTTCTAAGGTACTTTCTAAGAAATGTAACTGGTTTACAAGTTTCTTTTCTTATTAAACAGATATGATGATACTAACCAGATTATGGATAAAGACTATCCCAGACTAATAGAAGAAGACTTCCCAGGAATTGGCGATAAAGTAGACGCTGTCTACGAGAAAAATGGTAAATAGTTACATTGTGTTGACTTTAAAGAGGAGCTTCTGTAGCCCCTCAAAACTTTTCTCCATACAAAGGATTTTTATCTAGGACCTACATGTGCTAATAAATGTATGGCAGTTAAGGAATTAACCATTCCTGTGTGACTACCTACAAAGACAGCAAACAAAAAAATGACCTGCTAAGAATAAATAAGAATTTTACTTAATGATTGCTATTCTATAAATAAGAGATGCCAAGCCTTCAACATTACTTTAACCTATGCTTAAAGATGCCAAAATGCAAAGGATACTGCCAGAATTCAAACTGGGCATGGAGTGGAAAGTAATTTATATATGAAGACTCATAACTACCATAACTATATAGCAATTTTTTACTTTAATTATGTTCACAGCATTTTTTCTTTTTTTGAGACAGAATCTCTGTCTGTCACCCAGGCTCGAGTTCAGTGGCACAATCTTGGCTCACTATAACCTCTGCCTCCTGGGTTCAAGACATTCTCCTGCCTCGCCTCCAGAGTAACTGGGATTACAGGTGCCTGCCACCATACCCAGCTGATTTATGTATTTTTAGTAGTGATGGGGTTTTGCCATGTTGGCCAGGCTGGTCTCAATCTCCTGGCCTGAAGCAATCCACCCGCATCGGCCTCCCAAAGTGCTCAGATTACAGGCCTGACTGTGCTGACCTAATTTAATTATGAGAAGAGATATTACTGTTAACTGATAACAAATATCGGGCCAGAGTGCAGTGGCTCACGCCTGTAATCTGAGCACTTTGGGAAGCCAAGGCAGGCAGATCACTTGAGGTCAGGAGTTCAAGACTGGCCTGACAAACATGGCAAAATCCCTACTAAAAATACAAAAAAAAAAAAAAAAAAAAAAAAAAAAATTAGCTGGGTGTAGTGGTGCATGCCTGTAATCCCAGCTACTCGGGAAGCTGAGGCAGGAGAATCACTTGAATTCAGAAGGCAGAGGTTGCAGTGAGCCACATCTATGCCACTGCACTGCAGCCTGAGCAACAGAGTGAGACTCCATCTCACAAAAAAGCAAAAAACAAAATGAAGCAAAAATCGATAATCGAAGTAGCAAAACTGAAACTCATGGCAAGACAATTAATTTGAGGTGACAACTTAGGAGAGCTAGGTAGATTTACACCTTAAAAGAACAACTAAAAAATAAAAATAAAAAGATAAAAAATTTTAAAAACAAATAACTATAAGCAATACATAAAAGCCCCAATAGAGTTTAAAAAGAAAAAGGTTGAAATTCCTACAAATGGGATCTAAGAGACTGGATTCTTAATATTAACTGGATTAAAACCTGATTATTTTCAAACTCTGAAATTGTCTTTATGCTTTTTCTTGTAGGTTATATCTATTTTTTCAATGGACCCATACAGTTTGAATACAGCATTTGGAGCAAGCGTATTGTTCGTGTCATGCCAGCAAATTCCATATTGTGGTGTTGAGTGTCTTTTTAAAAATTGTTATTTAAATCCTGAAGAGTATTTGGGTTAATACTTCCAGAAGTGTGGAGGGGGTGAAGGAGAGCTATCAGGAGAAAGCTTGGTTCTGTGAACAAGCATCAGTAAGTTATCTTTGAATATGTAGTATCTATATGACCTTGCGTGGCTGGAACCACATTGAAGAATGTTAGAGTAATGAAATGGAGGATCTCTAAGGAGCGCCTGATTCTTGCTGCTGTACAGAAGCAATGGTTGATGATATTTCCCACACCACAAATGGGACACGTAGTTTGTCAATGACAGCATAATTTTAAAATATATTTATAAGGAAATTTTACAGAGGCATAAAAGTAAATCACATTTATATAAATAATAAATCATCCTTACTAAAAAGTATAAAATGCCATGAAAATGGAATTTTGGGAGAGCCATACATAAATAAACCAAAGGGAAATGTCTGTAATAAATAGACTGTAACTTCGAAATAAATAATTTTCATTTTGCACTGAGAATATTCAGATGTACCTTCTTCACACAGACACTAAGAAAATATCAAAGTTGAGAGAAAAGTAGATGTGGCCTTTAGATTCTGTTCAATTTTCACTTTTGGCCATGGCTCAGGGGCTGCTCTCATATAAGACAAATATTCCTTTGCATATCATAGAGGATAAAGAAGAATGACATCTTTTTATTAAAGTATTTCAGGTTTTTCAGAAGTCACACATTACAAAGTTAAAATTGTCATCAAAATAATCTAAGGCCATGGCATCCCTTTTTCATAAATTATTTGATTATTTAAGACTAAAAGTTGCATTCAACCCTATTTTACCTAGCTAATTATCTTAATTGTCCAGTTTGCTTTGGATATATAGGCTATTTTCTAAAGATTTGTATAGCATGAAATAAAATATATCTTATAAACTGGAAGTATATATTAAAGGAGAGACATCCAGAGTTTTTTTTTTTTTTTAATAAACAGTCTACTAGATTGTGATACCTTGAGATATGGAATGATGCTTTTCTCTGCATTTTAAAAAATCCCCCACACTTCTCACAGTGCCTACTGCCATTTGTGGAGGGTGCTTGGCACTTACTGAAGATAAGATCAGCCGTCAAGGGAGGAACTACTGTGCTCAGAGAAACTGTTCATAAACTCAGGCAAAGAAAATGAAATGCGTATTTGCAAAATGTGTTAGGAAGTGTTTATGTTTTTCTAATAAAAATATATTTTCAACAGATAATTGCTATATGGTATATTTTGTCTTTAGGTATAATTTCAAGCTTTCCTCACCCAAAATGCCAATATTTTTGTTTTTGGAGACAGTTTCGCTTAGTTGCCCAGGGTTGAAGGTAGTGGTGCTATCCCTTTTTTTTTTTTTTTTTTTTTTTGAGATGGAGTTTGTCTCTTGTTGCCCAGGCTGGAGTGCAGTGGCATGATCTCGGCTCACTGTAACCTCCACCTCCCTGGTTCAAGCGATTTTCCTGCCTCAGCCCACTGAGTAGCTGGGATTACAGGTGCCAGCCACTACAACTGGCTAACTTTTGTACTTTTAGTAGAGACAGGGTTTTGCCATGTTGAATTGGGTGGTCTTAAACTCCTGACCTCAGGTGATCAGCCCGCCTTGGCCTCCCAAAATGCTGGGATTACAGGTGTGAGACACTGCACCCAGCCAATTTTTGTATTTTTAATAGAGACAGGGTTTCACCATGTTGGCCAGCTGGTCTTGAATTTATGATCTCAGGTGATCCACCGCCTTGGCCTCCTGAAGTGCTGAGATTACAGGAGTGGGCTACCACACCAGATCCTTCTTTTTTTTTTAAAAAAAAAAAAAAAAAAGATACTTAGGCCAGGTGCAGTGGCTCATGCTTATACTCCCAGCACTGTTGGAGGCCCAGGCTGGAGGATTGTTTGAACACAGGATTTTGAGATAAGTCTGGGCAACGTGGTGAAACCCAGTCTCTAAAAAAAAAAAAAAAATTAGCTGGGGGTGGTGGTACATGCCTGTAGTCCCAGCTACTAGGGAGACTGAGGTGGGAGAACTGCTTGAGACAGAGAGAGGTCAAGGCTGCAGTGAAATGTGATCATGTCACTGCATTCCAGCTTGGGTGACAGAGCAAGACCCAGTCTCAAAATTAATAATAATAATAAGCCAGATCCCAGCTACTCAGGAGGCTGAGGCAAGAGGATCGCTTGTGCCCAGGAGGTTGAGGCTACAGTGAGCTATGCTTACACCACCGTACTCCAGCCTGGGTGATAGAGTGAGACCCTGTCTCAAAACATAAACAATCGAAAATAAAAAAGATGTTTAACTTGATTTTAGAAACACTTTCCCTATGTTTTACCATTTTCTTGTATGATACTTCTCTCTCATAGATACACAGATAGGCAGACAGATATACCATAAAGGTATATAGATAAATATATATAGTCAAGATTGTTTCCTGACTTCCATCTTTACTTCAGTCTTAATTCAAAATTCCAAATCTAATTGGTGTTACCTTGATCAGTGTCCTTCCACAGTAACCAAAGCATCAACTTCAAATTATAGCAAATGTCTATTTGGAGTTTACCACTGGAGATAGGGATAATACTAAAGAGAGCTAATTATGAACTGAGCAGATGGTCCTAATAGAATCTTCTATCAAATAGGTTACAGGTAAAATACAGACAGCCAGTTTGTACAGATATTCATGAACGGGGTTGAGAAGACCAAATGAATGCTTTATAAGAAGTAAAATTATATTCACAAATTAGAGTGCATTTGCCTAGAGCTAATGTATAGGCAAATGCACTGTCTACAAATTGAACTGCAGCTAGTAACAACCTCTTCATAGATAATAAGGGGAAAAGGCTTGAAAAACTCCTCAAAGTGAACCAATAACACACTTGTATTTGGAATGAGAGAAACTGAGAAGATCTTATATTGGTGTAACAAATTTTGCTCTTGGAATTATCCTGGGAGAACTTTTGTATTAAATGATAATTATTGTCTGGATTTCCACATTCTCATGTCAGAATAAAAACATCAAAACATATATAGCAGAAAAATAGCCACCAAACCAAGCCACCAAATTTAACCCACCTCACGTTTAAAAAAAAAAAGTGCAAGTATCTGCACTCACAGTTTTCTCAGGGCCAACAGGAGTGGATTAAGCACTGGTCACAGAAAATACGTTGATTTACAAATTTATCACGAGGTTGTGAGATTTAGAATGTTTCCACTAGGTGGCACCAGCAACACCCTTTTAAAACATGTTGAAACCGTCAGAGCATTCAAATAAGTCATAAAACCAGTGCTTTGTTCTTTAATATAAGGTTGAGGAACTTAGCCAAATCGCTGATTGTTTAACTCCTGACTTTATGTTACTGACTTTCAAGTAAGATTTAACCGCTATGGAATTCAAGAACAGCTTCCTTTGGGTTACTTGGTTTTTGTAGATGAGTTCCCCTCACTGACCTCTTAGAGGTGAGTCGGGATTCTGTGTAATTCTGACTTGGTGGCTTGATTAAGCCACCAAACCCGCAGCATGTGCCCCTTAGAGCTAGGGTTTGTGAGTCATCACAGACCCCTGGGTGACAGACTCCAAGATGATCTGCAAGATGCACAGCATAGAGCCAACAGAATCAGCACTCCAAAGAGAAACCAAACCAGCACTGTTCTAGCACCAAGAGAGAGAAAAACCCAAACTACCGGGCATGATAAATTTTGTTTTCTAAATAAAAAAGTGGGCCAGGCTCGGTGGCTCACGCCTATAATCCCAGCTATTTGGGAGGCTGAGGCAGGAGAATTGCTTGAACCCGGGAGGCAGAAGTTACCAATCAAAAAGGCAAACCTGAGGTCCATGGCACGTTTAGAGGAAGAAAGGCTTTACAGTTTCATGGTTTAGTTTTTCTAATTTTTTGGACTTTTATAACTGCCTGGTATATTTAAGTCGGCGAAATACTGATTTAAGATTCCTTGATTTTGTTCTACCTCACTGCTCACAAGACACTCAAACTGGACTGCTGCTAATAATGATCTCTGGAAAATAAAAAATGTGCTGAGTTTATAGCAACAGCATGGGCATTTTTGTAAGAGTTTATCATGATGTCTTAATTGACCTAAATTGTCAAAACTGCCAGAGGTGTGTGAACCAGAGCAACCCCATCTTAGATAGGAGCTGGGTCAAACAAGGCTGAAACCTACTGGGCTGCATTCCCAGATGTTTAAGGCAGTCTAAGTCACAGGATGAGATAGGAGGTCGGCACAATATACACAGGTCATAAAGACCTTGCTGATAAAACAGGCTGCAGTAAAGGAGCCAGCCAAAACCCACCAAAACCAAAATGGCTACGGGAGTGACCTCTGGTCGTCATCACTGCTATATTCCCACCAGCACTATGACAGAAGTTACCCTATATGGTCTAAAAAGGGGAGGCATGAATAATCCACCTCTTGTTTAGCATATCATCAAGAAATAACCATAAAAATGGGCAACCTAAAACCCTCAGGGCTGCTCTGTCTATGGAGTAGCATTCTTTTATTCCCTTACTTTCTCAATCAACTTGTTTTCACTTTGCACTGTGGACTCGCCCTGAATTCTTTCTTGCTCAAGATCCAAGAACCCTCTCTTGGGGTCTGGATCAGGACCCCTTTCCTGTAACAAAACTATACCCTAAAATTAGATTCTGTGAGAAGAAAAACTTCTCTTTCATACATGAGCCTGAACAGGTAAAATATGCCTCAGTTGTACACATATGCAGAAACATACACACACACATATATATGCAAAATTCATCAAAACCACTCTAGAATTACTCATTCAATAATGTCATCACATCAACTGGGCAAGGAACAATTGTAAGTACGTGATATCCAGAGAATTCCGTCTTTTAAATTTTGGTTGCAATGACACTGGACTTAGTATCCAAATCCACCTGCTATGTCTTATCGTTCTTTGTAAGTGAAGATATTGATACTCTTTTTTCATAATTTGTGCTGGATTAAAGTACATTGCCCAAGCATCTTTATCTGTGTCCCATCTTTTGAGCCAAAAATATGTAAAATTAGCAACTAAAACAATTTTTTGGTTTATTTGTTTTTAAATTGCTACATACCCCAGTAGCCTTCCTTTTCTGGACAACCTTCTCTTTCCTTTATTAGACTGGGCACTAAAAGCCTGTACAGGTCACAAGCGAAACCATTCATGCAGCCCTTCCAATTCTATCTGAAAAGAAGTGTTGTCTTCTGGAGTTAAGAGCATCAGCCTTTCTGGGTGGTATCCTTTAGCCAGCTTGTGCCTTGGCTCAGTGAGTGCCCAGTTCCTTGTGGCTTTGCTTCCAAAACAACGCAAGGAAAAATAAGTCTGTGAGCTGTAAGCACTTCTGAGCACATGGGGTACAATGTGTACGCTAGTGCTGGCTCAGTTTTTGACCAACTGTAGTTCAGATTATTCTGAGCTGAGCAGAGGGCTGGCACACAGCACCAGCTGTGCCTCCAGCCACTTCCTTTTCTGAGCCCACTTATTAGGATTTATCCCTTAATAAGTAAGATATCTCCTCAATACTTGCATTCCCAATTTCGCAGGAAACAACCAAATTGCTTTATGGTTTGAAAAACAGCAAAATTAAGATAAAGGTTAAGGAAGCAGAGTCTCCAAGAAGTGAAATAATGGGCAACATTTGGCAGTCGTGGTAATGGAAGATGGGTACTTCGCAACAAAAATCACCCAGGCATTATGTGGGATTAACTGGAATATGAATTAAGGAATGAGAGCTATTTTATGAGAATTGCACTGTACACTCTGTATATGTAATATGCTTCTACTTGGTATTTATGTTTAAAACATTTCCTGAAATCTTTCAGTGGGGTGGCTCTGGGGACTAGAGGAATATGACAATATTGTATAATCTGTATTTATATAAGATACAAAAATTTAGAGGAACATATTAGATCATCTGATTTCAGTTCCTTCATTTTACAAATAAAAATTGGTCCAAGAGAGAGGAAATGATCTTTTCAAGAGCATACAGTAATGCTGAAGTCTAGGCCATAAGCATCATCCACTTTTCTCCTTCTGCCTTGTTAATTCTCTCTTCCACAGGCCAGGCCATAGATTGTCTATCGGGGGCATGAAATGCAATTCTACTGTAATGACACCACTAATCTGATGGCATCCATGTCCCAGAGTCAATGTGTCCATATTATCTTGGATGATGGGTCCCACCAGGTTCTCAGCCTTTGCTGACCATCTTCTC